CACAGATTTCCCAAGACTCCTGCTGTCCTCTAGACACTGGGGCCTTTGTGGACGTGTCTGGGAAGGCCCGCTCTCTGCCTGCCTTCTGCTTCTCCCAGTTTCTAGGAGAGAGAGCAGGACATTTAAAGAAGCTCAGGGATTTCCCAAGGCAAAAACATGTTAATCAGGTTCTTAAGTGGATATTTGTAAGGGACAAACGGTAAAAAAGAGTGGAAAAAGCAAGACTCTTAACAGGGCCTTCATTTCACCTTCTGTATGTCAATTTCATCCACATAGTACTGGATTCCTTTTCCTCCTTCGAAAGCCACTGTTATGCTGCTTTTCAGTGCATCTGCTAGAACCTGATCACTTCTGATTTTTTTCAAGCACTATAAATCTTCATTATGCTGTGCTCCATGCCAGGATTTTTCCATTTGGGGGCAGAAAAAAAATCCCCAAGCCCACCAAAACCCTGTGGCTTAGTTTCCTGTCCAGCTGGCGTGCTGTTCTTTGGGATTTTGTTCCCATCATCAAAGTGGCTTGACAGACTGAGAACAAACCTCTGGCTCACCCTAAACTCACAGTGCACCATTTCCAAGTCAGAACAAACACCAAGTAATAGCAAGAGAAAAAGAATGAAAAAAATTATTTTCCTGACTTAGAAGCCAGTTCAGAGTGAAGCCCAGCTCTGTGACTCCAGACAGGGATGTTATGAGGCCTTGGCTGTCCTCAAGGGTGGAGTCATGAGCAGTGGGCTTCAGGCCAGAGTTTCTCTCAGAGTCATCTCAAAGGAGAAGTCATGGATGGCCTCCTTTGTGGCCGCAGATCTTGTTTCCTGGACTCTGAAGCAGCAGCATTTGAGGGAGCCTCCCGTGATCTCGTTGACTACATCAGACTTGGCCCCAAGCCTCACAGTTGTGGGGGCAGTCAGTGATTCCTGAAGTGTCCCAGGAGGCCAGTAAGGTCACCAGCCTGTACCAGGCCTAGGGAAGATGCAAAACACTTCAGTCTGGCAGGAGGCTTTTAAGATCGTCAACCTTTCCTCTATTCATTTAGAAACTTTTAAAAATATGCTAACTTAGCTGAAAATCTCCTGGAAACTGTGCTCCTCATCAGACTTGAAAGTCAAAGTTTCTCAACAACTTTTCTTTATGGCTCTGTATGGCTCCACCAAAAACCAGAAAAACATTTGGGGCAAGAAGCTATGACTCTGTGAGGCCATGGGAGCAGGCAGTCAATTATTATACTAAGGAACACCCAGTTAGCGTGAAGTATCCCATCACTTAAAAGCCTGACCTACCTTGCTCTTATTTCTACCTTCTCAACGCATTCTCTAATCTTCCCAGGCTGGCTCTCTTCGGGTCTGGAGAAGCCAAATGAATTCCCTCTCACTTACCCTCTTTCAAAATGCCCTTCCTTATCAACTTTGCCTCTGGATTCTTCCCATCTTACATGGCCCAGTTGGAAGTATAACCTCATTTCTCCAGTCTACCCTGGTGGGTTTTGTTTGTTTGTTTTTTGGCTTAACACCTTACATCCTGTTCTAAAGTTTGTCTTTGTTTTTGTCTCCAGAACTAGACAAAATTCTCAGGTCAGAAGCCATCTCCTGTGCACGTCCTCCCTGCACCTAACTCAAGGCTGGATGCACAGGAGATGCCTTACCTGCTTTCTCAGGCCACTGGCTTTCCTCCCTGAGTGGCTCTTGCTTCAGCAGGGGGCAGACCCAACTGTTAAACGTAGAAATCTTTACCATTGGGAATGATATCATTAAAGTTTTCATAGATTGTGAGCTTTCCATAGTGAATGGAAGAGTAACAGCAGGAAGTGATGATTCAGAGTCCCAGGGTAAACTAGACACAAAAGATAGGGGCAAGGTTAAAAAGCAAAACCCCAGGCTGGACAGTATAGCCAGACCCCATCTCTAAAAAAATAATTTTAAAAATTAGCTGGGTATGGTGGCATGCACCTGTAGACCCAGGTATTTGGGAGGCTGAGGTGGAAGGATCACTTGAGCCCAGGAGGTTGAGGCTACAGGGAGCTGTGGTCATGCCACTGCACTTCAGCCTGAGTGATAGAGCAAGACCCTGTCTCAAAAAAGAAAAAGAAAAGAAAATGAGGCAAATCTCTGTGTTCTTAATAGAATGGTATCTGAAATATATTAGTGAAAAGAAGTAATGATCAGAACCTAATGTATAGTAAGCCACCATGTATATAAACAAGTGGGTAGCAGATAGATGCTTATAAAAGAACAGAATGTGCCTGGAAGGACGTGCTAGAAAGTAGTAATAGTGGTTGCCTCAGAGGAACAGAATGTGGGCAGGGGGCAGGGTTATGGAAAAGGGACTTCATTTTTTCTATTATTTTTGCACGTATTATTATTTTATTTATTTATTTATTTTAGATGGAGTCTCACTCTGTCACCTAGCCTGGAGAGTGCAGTGGGCGATTTGGCTCACTGCAACCTCTGCCTCCCAGGCTCAAGTGATTCCCCTGCCTCAGCCTCCCGAGTAGATGGGATTACAGGTGTGTGCCACCATGTTTGGCTAATTTTTTGTATTTTTAGTAGAAATGGGGTTTCACCATGTTGGCAAGGCTGTCTTGAACTCCTGACTTCAGATGATCTGCCTGCCTTAGCCTCTCAAATACCTATTTTTTTTTTAATGAAATTTTAGACCTGGTACAGTGGCTCATGCCTATAATCCTAGCACTTTGGGAGGCCAAGGTAGGTGTATTGTTTGAGCCGAGGAGTTTGAGACCAGCCTGGGCAACATGATGAAACTCTGTCTCTATTAGAAAAAAAAAAAAAATACAAAAATTAGCCAGACATGGTGGTGTGCATCTCTAGTCCCAGCTACTTAGGAGGCTTAGGTGGGAGGATCACTTGAGTCCAGGAGGTCAAGGTTGCAGTAAGCGGAGATCATGCCAGTGCACTCCAGCTGGGGTGATAGAACAAAACCCTGTCTCCAAATAAATAAATAAAACAAAAAAATGAAATTTTACAAATAACTAGGTATAGGTATGAAATTAAGCCAGACCTGAGGTATATGTATAAACTAGCAGTTTCACTAGGTAAAGGTCAGAGAGCAAGCAGTTACGTAAGTGAGGCAAGTCATGGGGGCTGAACTGGGGCAGTTCAGCAACAAAGAGACCCTTAATACTGGACAGATCTTAATCAGAAGTATCTGATACAGGGCAGGTGTGGTAGCTCACGCCTGTAATCCCACCACTTTGGGAAGGCAAGGTGGGTGAGATCACTTGAGGCCAGGAGTTTGAGACCAGACTGGCCAACATAGAAAAACCTTGTCTCCACTAAAAATACAAAAAATTAGCCAGGTGTGGTAGTATGTACCTGTAATCCCAGCTTCTCAGGACACTGAGGCAAGAGAATCACTTGAACCTGGGAGGTGGAGGTTGCAGTGAGCCGAGATTGTGCCACTTGCCTGGGTGACAGAGTAAGACTCTGTCTTAAAAAATAAAAAACGTATCTGATACATTTTTCATGGTAGATATATGCCAGCTCCAGATATAGGCAGTTCAGGATAGAGGTGTGAATAAACTTTAGGGAAATGGTAAAACTGTTTGTTTATAGGAAATGAGAAGGATAGATTTCAGGATTAAGCCACATGTAAACTCACTTGCCAGAACACTTGTGCCAGTTTCAATGCCATCTCGTAATCCGTGTTGGAAGTAGACAAGGGCAGGGAATGAACACTTCTGGAACATCTGCCATGGCCAGGCACTGAGATGGGTATTTTAAGTTTCCTGTACCACATTGAACACTCACAGTGACTCAGTAAGGCTGTCTTCGTCCATTTTCTATTTCTGTAACAGAATACCACAGACTACATAATTTATTAAGAAAATAAATCTATTTAGCTTATGGTTCTGGAGCCGGAGAAGTCCAAGGGCATGGCACTGGCATCTGGTAAGGGTCATCCCATGGTGGAAGGGTGAAAGCAGAAGAGAGCACACAAGACAGAGAGGATATCAGGCCAAACTTGTCTTCATAACAAACCCACGCTCCAAATGACTAGCCCAGTCCCGAGATAGCAGCATTAATTCATTCATGAGGACAGAACCCTCATGACCCAGTCACCTCTTAAAGGCTCTGCCTCTTAACATTGTTACAACGGCATTAAATTTCAACATGAGTTTTAGCAGGGACATTCAAACCATAGCAGAGGTGATAATATAGTTCCCATTTTACAGGTCAGGAGTCTGATTCAGGTCACATAAATAATAAGTGGGAAAGCCGGGACTCAAATGTAGGTCTGTCCCTGCTGTCTCTATTACTCACGTTGTATTATTAGTACACCAAAGATGTTTTAGCCTTTTCATGGCCAAAGACACTCAAGAGTCAAGGCCCTTCAGTACTGTTCTTAAAAAGCAAGCCTTTGTTCTTCCTTTTGTGTTTAGACCCCCAAATCTGAGCCCACTTACTATTTCCACTGTGTGGTTCAAAGAGCTGCTCCATATATTGAATGAAGAAAAAATTCTGTTTATTGGGGAAAATGTCATCTCCAATGTTTGTTAATTTTGCCACATGTCTGTTGTTGAACTGGTTATTTCAATTCCATAGATATGGTTTTTCAAATGTGAGTTAGTTTTCCTTCTCCGAAACACTAAATCTGATTTTCATGTCTGATGATTTTTTTTCTCCAAATTTCTACCCTAAGGAATAATAGAATACCACCTCCCCACCCCTTCTGCCCCATCTTGTTTTCAACTAACCAGGATACATTCTTGGTATTTGTTTTCATTTTATTTTATTTGAAGCCAAGGCATAGAGCTTTTATCTATGTTGTCTACACATATCCTTGGCCTCCATCATATGGTCAAGGATTTCATTTTCTCACGAGTTGCTTATTTTCTTGTCATCAGTGATTGTACATCTTTTCTTACCATTTGCCATAGTTACTTAAACCCCATCATATACCATAGAAAATACCCATGTTCTCCTTCCTGAGACCCAGACCTAAGGGAGATAAAATATCAATATATTCTGTTCTTTACCTTTCTAGGCAAAATCCATGTTTGGTGACCAGAGCTGTCTATATTGATATTCTCTTCCTGTTGACCTGCTGCCTCAACAAATCTACAAAGGACAAAGAGCCAGGTATGATTCTTAGTTATACTATATTTTGGAATGGTTGCACATCTTTGAAATGTAGATGGCGTTTTGAGTGGCTCTGCCACACACTGCTCTACCTTCTGCTTTTTTAAGACTAACCACACATCAAAATTAAACAGTGTTGTATAGTTCCCTCATAGAACTTTCTCGGGGAAACTTGTTCTTTTTGGAAGTTTGTCATTTATTTTCTAGTTGATCGTTCAGGGAAGAGTGAAGTCTACTCAGATACCCTCTGTGCTTCTACAGCCCTGGCTTTTTGCTATTTTATGTATTTTCTTTGAAAGGTCATCATTTTGAATAGCTGCAAGTTCATTCTGTTCCATTCTGTGGAAATGACTGAGCTGGGCTCATTTGATGCTGGGTATTTGAGACTCTTCTCAAATCGACCCTGACACCAATGGATTTATGAGTTGCTGTCTCAGGCGCTGACTTTCCCCATGTTTCTTGGTCATGTATGTTTCTGGCTATGACTCCAGATCCACATTCAGTTGTTCTGTCTTAATCATGATTTGCAAAGTGGTTTTTCTTTTTTAAAGAAGAAGGGCAACTCCAAATAAAATTTTTTTGATGTGTTTATATAAGAAGCTGCCGAAAGTGCTGTACATGAATTCCAGGCCACGGACTGAAACTGATTTTCATCAACACAAACTGGAATGCAGGGTAATGAACCTGCAACTGGTTAAAATCAGCCTCTTCTAATTGATTAGGCCTGTCTAAAGGAGGCTACAATTACAAAGTCAGATTCTGAGTGCAAGCAGACCAGGCCTTTCCTCTGTTACATTTAGTCTGTCAATGATTTGTTATCTTCAGTAAATACATTCAGGCTGTCAGTGTCCAGCTCTGTCCATATGGAACCCTGTTCCCAAATTCAAACCAATTTAAAATGCTTTGCAGGAGGGAGGTTGGGGAGGTGGGAGCATGCAAAACCATCTCACCCAGATCGATGTATATTAGCCCACAAAACCCCTGTGGCCATGCAGTGGTAATAAGAACATGCTAGACTCTCATCAACTCCACATCCCTGGATAGGGGTAGCTGTTGTATCCTCTTGGTAGTGTAAAATCATGTGATTTTATAGCTATAAAACAATCCCAGTTTATGCCTCTTTCCGTAGCATAATTATTAATAGTGCCCCCTTTTACTCTTGAAAGTGACCAGGTTTGCATCATAAATTATTGGTCGCCCTGGCTGTAAGGGACTCCAGAGTTGCATCTACTTTAGTTTACTCTTGAGTTAACTGGAGTGCAGAGTTTATAAAGAGATTGTGAATCCAGTGTTACCAAGTAAATTGCTTTAGATTTCCACCATTTCATATTTCAGTTCCAAATTCCATGTAGCTTTATAGTATTTCTCTGCCTATGTATCTAAAGGGGTTTGGCCATCACAGATTTGTTCATTGCTTACAAATCTGTTCACTGGGATTTTGATAGTTTGTGGTTGACTATCATCATTAGTTTATTTGAACTGAGTTTTTCTTGGCTCATTTAGTGCCATAATTCCTTGTCTAGAATGGTTAACCCTTACATGTTGTAAAATACCTTCTTTCTTCCCCAACTATGCATCCTTGACCGGTGAACTGGGTTCCTTGAAGATGACTTTGGCTTTTTTGAACCATCTATTTCTCCAAACTGTTTAACATTTAGAGTTTCACAAGCTGTGTTTAATAACTTAGCATCATTTCACTTCCATCTATATATTACTTCTCTTAAAGTTGTTACTCTGCAGAGTAAGATGTGAGGCAGGACACTTTTATTCTGGTATGGCAACTAGAATATTCTATGACTATTTTATCCTGTATATATAGTATGAATATTTTATCCTGCACTATCCAGTACTGCAGCTACTAGGTACTTGTGGATCTTGAGCACTTGAGATGTGGTTGGTCCAAAATGAGATGTTCTATTAGTGTAAAACACATACTAGATTTCAAAGACTTAGTATGAGTTAAAAATAAAATTTCTCAATAATTTTATATTAATTATGTATGTGTTAGAATGATGCTGTTTTTGATATATTGGGTTAAATTTAAAATGTATTATCAAAATTAATTTTATCTGTTTCATTTACTTTTTAAAATGTGGCAGCTGAAGTCAGATGTAGTGGCTCAAGCCTATAATTCTAGCACTTTGGGAAGCTGAGGCAGGAGGATCACTTGAGATCAGAAGTTTGAGACTAGCCTGGCAGCATAGTGAGGCCTCATCTCTAAAAAAAAAAAAAATTTAAATATGCCGGGTGTGGTGACTCACACCTGTAATCCCAGCACCTTGGGAGGCAGAGGTGGGCAGATCATAAGGTCAGGAGTTCAAGACAAGCCTGATCAACATGGTGAAACCCTGTCTGTACTAAAAATATAAAAATTAGCCAGGTGTGGTGGCACCTGCCTATAATTCCAGCTACTTAAGAGGCTGAGGCAGGAGAAATCACTTAAACCTAGGAGGTGGAGGTTGCAGTGAGCTGAGATTGTGCCACTGTACTCCAGCCTGGGTGACAGAGCAAGACTCTGCCTCAAAAATAAATTAATTAATTAAAATTAGCCACATGCATCTGTAGGCTTAGGTACGTGGGAGGCTGAGGCAGGAGGGTCACTTGAGTCCAGGCATTTGAGGCTGCAGTGAGCTATGATTACGCCATTGCATTACAGCCTGGGCGGCAGAGTGATACCCTGTCTCCAAAAAAAAAAAACTTAAATGTGGCAACTAGAATGGGAAAAAATAAGAAAGAAAAAAGTAAAACTGCCATTGAAATATACATATTTAACTTTGAAGGTATTTAACTTTGTCAAATGGAGAGATAGGAAGAATTGTAAATGACATCATAACAATTCGAAAGATACATTAAAGTAACATTATTAATGATGAAAAATGTGGCTGTTTACATTTTAAATTACATATATGACTTATATTTTTTTGGACAGCACGAATTTTGATCAGTCTTCAGAGAATTGCCCTTATAAAATCGCTGGATATGTGTGTATTTATGTATCTGTGTATCTATCTGTATGAATGTGCATGTTCGTATAATACATCCACACAAACAGTGGGAGTATATTTTCTTTCTCTGAGGATGGAATAGATTTTTAGAACTTACCAAATACCAAATAAAATGGCAATTAAGATGGAAATCATTGTTTGGGATAAATATAAACTGTGCTTAATGTAGTGAAATCTATACTTGTGTGTTTTATAAATTGTTCCCTGAAACAGGTTAAGCAGTGGATAAATACATCACCAAATATGGCGATCACCTATTTCGACATGTAGATTTCAATATGCTTTCAAAATAATGTGATGAAATTATAGTCTTAGCATATAAGCTCCTTGAAAGAATGGACCATGTCTTAGATTCTTTGTCATCTAAACACATAGTAGGCCCTCATAAAATTGATTTATTAACTGTTTGATTGAAATGCAATTTTCCTTAGTTTTTAGAATAGTAACAGCTGTTATCAAATTACAGATTTTATTTAAACTCATGTATCAAACAGATGCAAATTTTTCTGAATTCAAGCAAGGTGTATATATATATATATATATATATATATATATATATATATAATCTGCCTCCATTATTAGCTCACAAAGCTCAGAGTAGGAAGTATACCACATAGACTGAAGCCAGACCTCTGAGTTTGAACCCAAGATCTGCCACCTTAGGCAGTGTGACCTTAGGCAAGTTATTTAGCTGTTTTGAGATGGTTTTACCATTGTAAAAGGGGATAATAAGATCTGTATCTTAGAGTGATTGCAGTTTATACATGTAAAGCTCTGTGTGAAGAATGTGCTTTGCATGGCACAGAATAAATGCTCAACAAATACTAAGTATTATTAATATTATTGTCATTATTATTCGCTGGAAGCCATGCATCTAATCCAGCCTCCTTCAGCCAGGCAGCACTGTGTTCAACTCCTCACCTTCACTGTTCTCCACATATTTTTAAACATCTTCAGGAAAGACAAAAGGCTTGCTTTCCTAGGAAAACACTGCGGTATAACATACTTGGCTTAGAATGTTAGGAGTCCACTTGGTTAGGGTTACCTCTGTCCCTCTGGCTGATCCAGAAAAAGATCATATTTTTTTCTTGTTTATTTATTTTTTCCTTCATCAGACCTGCTAGCCTCAGAGACATATTGAGCACTTATATCTGGAGATAGACATGAGTATGCCTTGGGCTTATAAGTAGGTGCAGTAAAGGATTTTTCAGATGCTGTATTAAGGGAAGTATGTATGGGACATATTGGAGGCACTAAAGAAAGTTAGATCATTTCTACTTTAGAGGACAGGAAAGACTTCCTGGAAGAGGAGGTGGTTGAACAGAGTTTTGTCAGTGGGTGGGGATTCACCAGGATGGGCAGGTGGAGGTGGGTATTACAGACAGAGGTAGGAGCATGGCCAAAGCTGTAAGGGCACAAATTAGCACAGCATTCAAAGCACCAGGGACATGGTCACTAGAGTGCTGGGTTCAAGGCCAGGGGGGTGTGACTGATAAGGCTGGGGAGACAGAAACCCAGTCATGGAAGGCCTCATTCATAGGCCAAAGTGTAAGGCGCTTGAATTTGACCCTGTAGACAAAGGAGATTATTAGAAGATACAAGACAGAGAGTGTGGTTTTTAAGACAATGTGACATTTCTTTCTCTGTCCTCATCCTTACAGGATTTTTAGGACCCTTATGGAACCAAGTTCCTAGTGCCACTCCAAGAGAATGTAAGTGGCTGGATACAATGGCTCACACCTATAATCCCAGCATTTTGGGGGGCCAAAGCAGGAGGATTGCTTGAGGCCAAGAGTTTGAGACCAGCCTGCACAACATTGCATGACTCTATCTCTACAGAATTTTTTTTTTAATTAGCTGGTTATGGTGGTATGTGCCTGTAGTCCCAGCTACTCAGGATGCTGAGGTGGGAGGATCCCTTGAACCCATAAGTTTAAGGCTGCAGTGAGCTGTGATCACACCATTGGGCTCCAACCTGGGTGACAGAGCAAGACC